ATATACATGTATCTAAAAAATGCGTAAATTTGTATACAAAGCCCGAAATTAAGTATCAACACACATTAATTCAGAAGCGATACAACGTATAATTAAAAGGCGAAAATGACGAAGATTTCAGGGATTTTTTTGGTTGTTCTGGTTGTTACAAACATGGTTTTATTCATGCGCAACGGCATTGTCGAAGCGCGGCCGCTAAAGATGGTTGATTCAGATGACGAAATGATTGTGATCGGCGAGATTGAGCAATTGTTGGTGGAAGGGATCAAGACAGGCGGGCCAAGTGTTGGCGGAAGCGGACACAAAGTTACTAATGGAGTCGGTGATTCAGCGGCAGTTGAGTCCGTTTACCGGGTCATGAACTCCGGTCCAAGCCCTGGAGAAGGCCATTGATCATCCGATCAGTTCAGTTCCTTTCGGGGGATCATTTTTGCACGATTCTTTATTTCATTCTTTTGTCAATTCAATCACCCTACACTACTATCTCTCCGTCCCGAAATGACTGTCCAGTTTGAGATTTTATTTTTATTACAAATAGTACTATGAATAAATATTCAAACTAGATAATCATTTTGGGACAGTGAGAGTATTATTCTTTTTTGATTTATTTGTTCAAGTGTTTTTTAAAAGAAAAGAAAATAATTCTTTATTCAATATTCAATCTTTCTTCAAGGTTTAACATGTAATTAATCGCCATCTGAGTCATTGTAATAGTAATAATAAATTAATGAATCTGTTAGTTGTTTATTTGGTCTCCTCAACAAAAAAAATACATGTTTGTCTAGTAAGGAGAAGAGCAGACAATTCCACTTTCCCTAATTCTAATTGATTAATTTTATACTCATTATTTTACTGTAACCTGCTCATTTTCTCTCTCTCTCTCTCTCTCTCTCTCTCTTATGGGTTTTAGTCGGACGTATTACACAACGCAAAACTCTTTAATAAGGTTGCCTTCAAAACAAATGTTTGTTTCAGTAGTGATTTCGCGTCACAAGGGAAAACATAAAAACAATCAAGTCCAAACGGAACGAGTATTGGATATGGTCATACGAGCATGCATAGAATATTGGAGGATTTTATTGGCACAAGTTGGAAATATGCATTTTATTGGGATCATGTATACAGTATTTGTTGAAAAGGAAGAGAAGGGAAAAAAAAATTATGATCGGAATCTTCATTGGGCTTCAATTTTTTTTTTAATAAAAAAATCACCAATCAAATAAGAGCGTTATTGCCTAAAGCCACAAAATAAAATAAAAAATGGATTTGGACAATAAACAACTTTCAAACAAAACCATGCATGTATAACGTTGTAGTCAGTAGCGGATCTAGAAAAAAAATTATAGTGAAGGCTGAAATACATTGTTGAGAAAATATATCATTTCTTTTATCAATGTGCATCGATAAAGCCATCTTCATATTAAGTTATACTAATTATAAATTTTCACACCCATCAAAACAAAAAAAGTTTATTCGAGAATTTGGCATCCGGTTATACATGCAAATGATTTTTTACTATATTCATAAGAAAAGACCCTTTCTACAATGGTTATATCACTATCTTTCTATTTTTAGATACACATAAGGAACATAAGGTGATATGGTATAAAAGAAAGATGTGTTACTATTAAATGTTATAGATAGGATGCCTATAAATATATAATTATATTGTATCAGGTTTTACATTAAAAACAATAACCAAAACTTAATGTGATTTTAAAATTATTTATTATGTATCACTTAAACTAATTTATTTTGGGTACAAAATAAAAGGAGGCAAAGCCTAGAAAAATGACTTAAACTAATTTAATTTCACCTTGAATTGGGGTTTGGATTATATTGATTGTCCGAAATCAAAACTATAAGAACTATACAAATAAAATTTAGCCCAAATTATACAAATATTACAAAATTAATTAACAAATGATTAACTATAATTAAACTTTTACAAGTAAATGCTATTGATTTAGGGTGGGGCCAATGGGGGCCCTGGCCCCACCCTAAATCCGCCCCTGGTTGTAGCTATAATAAAGCAGGAAAAGAATCTACTGTACAGCAATTATACCCTTATTTACTGCCAGTAAAACACCACTCTATATTAAAAAACATCGCGGTTCTTTAATTTTTTTTTTGTTAATTTTTCTCGTAAAGTTACATCTTTGTTTATCATTTTGCCTCTGACTACAGAATCCTACTTGATACAATTGATGTACTGTAGATTTTCTCATAAATTAGCAGGGGATGAACTGGTTAACTACTATATTATTACTCAACTAGAGTAATACTGTATCTTTTATAAGTCAAAGAAATTGATGATCAGAGACTTACATGTAACAAGAATTCTTCAGGCTATACTATAGAAGTCCAAAGTCACGGGTTATTTTTCTACCTAATAAAACCATACAATATTCGCAATAGAAAAATCAAAACAACCGAAGACAAATCCTAATTCAACCTTAAAAACTTAGAAACATATTCCCTCCGGTCCTTATTATAAATTATTTTGATTTCTCTTAAATTTCGGTCTTATATGAACAATTTCTCATTTTGCCTTTTTTGTCTCATTTTCCCTCTTAAACATAAAACCCAATACACTATCCAAACAACATTTTAACTTACCTTTTAAAAAAATATTCTAAATGTTATTTTTATACAATTTTTGTCTACCACCACCAGACCATCTCCTGCTAGGGTTGTCAATCTCTGACACGATCCGAAATTTCGACAAGAATCCGACATGAAAAAAGTGGGTTAGGGTTGAAAATGTAGACCCGTATAATAAACAGGTCGGGTAAGGGTCGACCTATTTATTATACAGGTCGGGTTCGGGTCAACCCATCGGGTTACTCGGGTCACCCGTAAACATGTAAATTATATAATATGTGGGGGTGATTTTGGAATTCAAGTTGAAAGTGTACCGTAATCTACGGGTTCAGTGGTTCATTGGTTCATTTGTCAAACTTTGTCTCTCTTTTTTACCTTATCTCTCTCTCACAGCGACGGCTAACCCAATCTTCATTCTTCAGCAGCGGCGGCCGACCCTTCATCCTCTCGATCGGGATCCAAATCGGACGATCTGGACAACTTAGCTTCCGCCCTCTTCATCTTCATCTTTTTAGCAATTTCAGAAATGGGGTCCAAATCGGACGACTTAGTTTCCACCACTTCCTCCCTCTTCTCCTTCTTCCTCTTTTCCTTGTTTGCAATTTTAGTATCGGGTTCCAAATTAGAAGATTTGGACTGCTCCTATTCCAACGTCAGTTCCTTCTTCTCTTCCTTTTTGCTAGTAGATTCATCATTTTTATGTTTGTTTTTTTAAGTTGTAACTTGTAGTTTAGTAATTTGGATTTCAAGGTTGTAATTTGTGATTCGGTAATTGGGATTTTAAGGTTATCATTTTGGATCTTCAGACCTCAATCTTGTTTATAGAAATTTTTTATTTTTGTATAGAAATTTGTTTGAGAATTTCGGGTTAGCAGGTGGGGTCACGGGTGACCTAAATATTTTCAGGTCGGGTTTTAAGAAAGTTGACCTGTTAATTTATACATGTCGGGTTCGGGTTGGCTATATTTTTTCCGAGTTCGGGTTTAACCCGACACGCCAACCGGAACCCGACACGGATTGCCAGCCCTACCTCCTGTCAGGCCGCCCACTGTCGCTGTCAAACGACCAGACCGCCTCCGAATTCTAGCGAGTTGGCCAGAATCCGGTCGGTTGGTCTGGGCGGTCCGGCGGTGACGCCGGTGGTGGAGGTGGTCCGATGGTGGTGTAAAAATATTATTATTTTATTTAAAATACTACACAAACAAATTTTTATATTTACTCTCAAACCACATTTTAAATCACATCTCAAACTCAAATTAAAACTAAACCAAAAACTAAAATAACCATTGTCTATACAAGTCCTTCATTTTTTGTATTTTTTTAATTGAAAATAAAACCTTAAAAATATTTTAAAAGAATTGAAAGAACATAGTAAAAGTGAAAATGCATTTTCAGGGTTTTATTTTTTATTAAAAAATACAATAAATGAAATATAAGATAAATCAAAATGTCTTATATTTCTTCTGTAAATTGAACTAAAAGTGAAAATTCAAATTAGACAATAATTTTGGGATGGAGGAAGTAAGGATTAAATATATTATCAAATAAATGTGAAAAAATTAAAGAAAAGAATGCTCATGTCATGGGTTTGGCCAACCGGTAGAAGTGTCAAGTTTTCCGGCTTAAAGTACACTTCTACCGAACGACGGGTAAAATCTTTTGCAGACAACTTAAATACGTAAGAGGGTATTGTAAAGGGCAAAGTAATCTACTACTACGGTCTTCTGAGATTTAGTCCTTTGTCACTTTGATTCGTAAAAAAAATAAAATTAAAAAGAATAATTAAAAAGAAGCTAAGAAAGAACCACTCCCACCAAGTTTATATTTGCTGCAAATAAAAAAAAAAATTAAGGAAAATAATGTATAAAGTGAAAAATGGGCAGTGAAATTGAATAATGGTATACATCCTTATTATGTCAGTAGTTATAAATTTGATGGGATAATACATTTCGTCTCTTCACAAATTACAATCCTTCACTATACATAGTTCCTATGGTTGTTCAAAAATGTTAAAGTCGGGTCACTTAAAACATAAAGTAACCACCTCTCCAACGTCTAACATAAAGAATTTTCTTTACTCTATTTCATTCATCGCTAACACCGTCAATTTACCAAGCTTAATTACTTTTTCTAAATGAAATAAAATTTATCTTATATATATATAAAATGTACCCCTCTAAAAAAAAAAAATTAAAAAAAACGGAGAAACAGCACTTTGTCGGACAGAGCAGCGGATATCAGCAGCGCCACTGCGTCACCACTGCCGGGTCAGCGGCATTTCTGCCGCGGCACACCATAATCTACGCTGAAACTTCTAAACCCATTTTCAGTCACCATAAGTCAACCAAATTTCATCACCAATTCGGTTTGCTGTGAATTTGGTGATCAAACCATCAATGGGAAATTCTTCCAAAGAAGAGGTGACGGATGATGGCTCTCGAACCGCATCCGTCGACGCCGTTGCTACCACCACCGCCATCGATCACTTCGCCGGAGTGTCCAGTGAGGGAGAAGAGAAACCCATTACGGATTTGGCTACGTTTGAAGAAGGGGAAACCGTCATGGTCTATTTCAAAGAGTGTCTGTACCTGGGCAAGGTGGAGTTCAATTTTATGTTTTTTTTTTCTCGTTGGTTTCTGTTAATGGTGATGCATTGTTACTTCTTTGTTGGGGTCTCAGTTTCTGGGGCGATAAATTTGCGTTTCTTCCTTTCAATTTTGATGATTGTCATGTGATATTGATGGTCGATTTTCATGGATTAAGAATTGTGGTGTCATGCTAATCATGCGGTTTGTTTTTGGGCCAGATAAAAAAGGTGGATCACGATGAAAATGGTTGGAGGTACTTCGTCCATTATGCTGTAAGTGCTTTAGTTCTGCGTGTCTTGTTCTTACTGTGTTATTCGAGTTGTTGGGTAGAACCTTATTGTTGTACTTCTTTGTGTTCTGCAGGGGTGGAAGGATAAGTAAGCATCTTCTATTTAAATCTGATTTAAAAAAGCTATAATTTGGTATTGCATTCTAGTTTTCCTTGTTTATTCCCTGCATTGTGGTTTACCTTGTAGGTTAGATAAACTCAGACGCAGAATATTTTAATTCTCTTTTTCTTTTTTGGCAAATGAATTAATAATTAATCATTATGCACAATGGCGAAAATGTTGTTTTCCTATCTGCCCTTCTGCACTGAAAGTGATAACGAGAAAATTATTTTGTTGTAAATGTAAGTTGTAGTCATCTCTTCATTTGGAAACATGTAGATCCTGGGAAAAGACATAGAGAATGCAATTGGTATCTGGTGGATTGTGTGAGGGAACTATACATATCTGAATATAGTGGAAAATAATAGGGAAAACGTCACAAGAAAAATATGTCAGGACGTAAGTTTTAGGCTCAGTTAAACACAGGGAACCTTGAATGACTGTCGTTTTTCCTTCTTACAGTGGCTATGAAAGTTTGTCAATGTTTTGATTTCAAAGTGCTTTGAATACAAAATTTGGCTTTGCTTATTCAGTTTTTTTCCGGACTCAACAGTTCAGTCACCTTTTCTTTGCATTTTCAACCTTTATACTGCATGTTTTATGTGTCAACAGTTAGCCATTTATACTGGATGGTTTCTCATCTGTGTTCTGTTGACTTGCATTTTGGATTTTCAGCCTTTATACTGCATGTTATAAGTGTCAATAATTGGCCATTTATAGTGGATGGGATGTCATCCATGTTCTGTTGACTTGTTCCACCACATCTGTATCATTGAAACTTGTAATTCCGCCATCCATAGTCTGTACCGTATGATCTTATTAGTAAGTTAATAACTACACGCTCCATATTTTGTAAGCGCCTCTCCGAATTGATTTTTCGTCTCGTTTCACCAATATGCTAATTTGGTAAGGATGAAAACACAATCTTGCATATTTATTTATATAACATAAGAAACGCGCTTATCAAATTTTAACGAAAGATTTCTCATATTTATTTGTATCAGTTGGGATGAATGGGTTCGAATTAACCGGCTAATGAAAGCTACAGAAGAGAACAAAAAGAAGCTGGCAACGCGTAAGAAAACCGATGAGATGGAGAACAACGCAAAGACTGGGAGTAAATCAAAAGTCTCCAATGGTTAGATAGTTGCTGTGTTTTAGTAACCATTTGTTTCAGTTTCAGCTGCTTTTGTTGTTTTTGTTATCCTCTCAAAAAGTATTTGATGGAATCGACCTGGATCTGGTGCTTGCTGTCATGACCATGGTGAAACATGGTTTGCTGAATCAAATTGTTTCAGTTTCAGCTGCTTTTGTTGTTTTTCTTATCCTCTCAAAAATATTTGATGGAATCGACCTGGATCTGATGCTTGCTGTCATGACCATGGTGAAACTTGGTTTGCTGAATCAAATTAGTATCAAATTAAATCTAGATTGACGAAATTAGATTGGTCAAAAATTTTCGTTGCCAGAATTGATTTAAAATTTAAAACTTTTTCTCAATTTGTTTGATCAACATAATTGCATAAAATAAAAGCTATACCAAAGATTTCGTGCTCTTTTTCCTTATAAAATGTATCGTCTGCCCGCTCCAGATTAGCTTTGGCTGCTCATGACCTTATTGATATTAAATTTTTGGTTGTGAAAACATCCGTAAATCTGTGAATTCCATGTAATGCGGAACATTTTTGTTAACAATTGCAAATCTCCTGCTATTGACTGAGTGTGTGCTTCTCTGGGTTGGTCTCCGCAGGTCCAAAAGGGAAGAAGCGAAAAACTGTATCTGCTCAAAAGGTACTAGTATCAGTTTTTGTAGTCCTGTTTGGCCTTTTGGTTTCAATACTTGAATAACATCAATTCTTTGAAATGTTTCACTGTTGTCATTTGACGACTCCCAAGTATGGAAAATTATATAAACTTTTGGAACTTCCATACATAGTATATAAAGGACAAGTTCTTTAGTTTATCCTCTATGTTATTCTGTTTTTTGTGCGGATCCTTAGTGCCCCCATCTTCCTATCTTAAATTTGTTATTCATTTATTTGTTCTGTGTTTGAGCTGTTGGTTTCTTGCTACGAATTAATATCATGCTGAGGGCCTCGTGCACACTGCAAGGTTACATGAAATTTCAAATTGTGGATTTATAATGAAGGTGGATGAGCTGTATGGTCTGCTTGTAACATGAAGGTGGTTGTGCAATTGACATGGACATCAGTCTGATTTTCTGTTGACATAATAACTTTGCTTGTAAACTGTGTTGTCATTAGGAAAAAGCGGCGCCTTCCTCGGAAAAACATATAAATATTCCTATACCACCTGCATTGAGGAAACAATTGCTCGATGACTGGGAAAGTGTTAAAAAGTCAAATAAGGTATCTACTTCTCTCCTATACTTCGTTAATGCTACGTGCTTATTATGAATTTTGTGCTCTCATTATAATATGTATTTTCTTAAGCCTGTGCTAATATTTGCTGTTGTAGCTTGTCAAACTTCCTAGGTCTCCTAATGTAGATGAAATCATGAGCAAATATCAAGATTACCGGCAGAAGAAGGAAACAAGGTAGAACAATGTTTTCTTGATTCTCCAATTTTTGTTCCATTTTGTAGTGGCTTTGATTGTTAGTGTAGAGTTTCCGTGACGTGCAGATGGAGGACCCTTGTTTTAGTTGGCTAGCTTGCATTTGCAGTGATACATTTTTTTTTTTGGTGGATTTATGTTGAATAAGTTTTCCAGATATTAGAGGTACCCTTGGGCTTGACCTAGGTTGAGGTTTTAGGAGAAGAGTCAATGGAAGCAAGCAATGAGACATGTGAACTGAGTTTTTAACTTTGATACATTGTTTAGAATGCTTGGAAATTTCTACGTCTCACCTTCTTCGACACTCTGGGAATGGATATTTTAGATCTTAGCTAATAAATCATTATCTCTTAAATTCTCTGTATCTTGCTGGTGATTTTTATTTAACTAGTAGTTTGGGTGCAGGTTAGCTGGTTGTGTTGGAGAACTTGTCAATGGCTTGCGTCGTTACTTTGACAAAGCGCTGCCTGCAATGTTGCTATACCCGAATGAGCGCCAACAATATGAAGAAGCCGTAATAAATGAAGTGGCCCCTTCTGCTGTTTATGGAGCTGAACATTTGCTAAGGCTGTTTGGTATGTTTGTAATTTTTGTCTGGGGTGCTTGGGATATTTAATAATATTGTGAAATTAAGTATGAGTCCTATCATATACAGAGTTAAGTTGAGCTGTCTACTTAAGGTTGTGGAAAAGAAAGACGGTGAAAAATTTGGTGTTAAATCGAAAACTTCGGAAAAAATGTTAGTTTTTACTTTTAGTTTAAAACTTTAAATTCGAGGTGTTTAAGTTTGTTTTAAGATAGACTGAACTGATACTACATAAATGTGATGAGTAACTAGCAACTTTTCCCTTGGGCAAATGCTATTAATCTTGTTTTCAAGCATCAAAGTTCCAAATTGCATAAAACTGATGTAAATTGCAGCATGCCTATCAAGCATATGATGTTTAGTCTTCTCTTTGACTTGAAACTGAATTTCGTTTCTGCTTTTCCGTCTCCACTTATTTCTTTTTGCTATAGCTCTGCTTTTTGCTTCTAAAATGCAGTACTCCTGTGTTTTAATTGCATGTGTTCATACTTCTGGATTTCTCTAGTTTCTTATACAGAATAATTTGGAAATTCAGTTCTCATGGAGCTGTTCCTTAAATGTCTAGGGATAGCACTGAGACTATGCTTGCTGAATTCTTTCTTTACTGAACTATTTGTTAGTTGTTTACAGTAAAATTGCCTGAGATGCTGCAAAATACGGACATTGAAGAGAAAGTGCTCATTCAGTTCCAGCAGAATGCTGTAGACTTCGTCAAGTATGAAATCTTTCCAATTTTTATGTCATGTTACTTGATTTCCATTTACCTTCCTTTATTTCATAACCATTTGTGTCTTAGTCTCTATAAATGAAAAAATGGAAAGAAATTTTTTTTAAAAAAAATAAATGCTCAGAGTAGTTTGATATGCAGTAAAAAGCATGCCCAAGTAATATTCCATTATTAATTAAAACAAAAAGGAGAAATGTAAGAGTTGAAAGGAATTGGAGAGGTTCTATAAAGATGGGATCGTATAATTGTACTAAATGTAAAATGTGTTTGCGGAGGGTGGGGCTGCGTTGGATTGTTATGGCAAAGGATTCCAACCGAGAGGCTTACCAAATAGAATAATTAAAATTGTGAATACATGTTTGACTTTACGGTGAGATGTGGTCTGCATGGTTAACGTGCATTGTGGGATAGATGCTCAATTGGTTTAGTTTTGATGCTATTAGGGAAGTGTATTTCGGCGCAAGTTATGGAAAGCCAGCTCCTCCCCTCCTCGTTTTTATCCCGTTTTGTCTTTGAGATTCACTATGAGATGGGTTGGTCATGTTGATTCAGGATTGCTTCCTGACATACATAGGCTTTGCAATTTTTGTTTTCTTGGTAACTTCTTTGTGATGTGGAAGTTCTCCATCATGAACCAAACATTCGGTTTATACGTGGGATATATACTGAAAGAAAGTATGACGTATAGTTTGGGTGATTTATATCGCAGTGTGGTTGAATTTAATCCATGCACTGTTTCTTTTGTATCGATAGATTCTCACATTCTCTTTTTGCTAACTGAATTCTCAATATATGATGGACAGGTTCCTTCAGAAGAATCAGAGTAGTTTCTTCCTTGGAGCCCAACAGTCGTCCTCTGAACAACTAGATTCAAGTGGAAAACAAGAGGATTGACTTTGGACTTAGTTACAACCACATTTTGATACGTATCTAAGCTTAGATAGATGGCCGGAGATAAATTTTGGAATTGTTGCGCTTCTATTATTTCATTATTCATTATCTGCCATCAAACCATTTGATATACTGTTCGATTATTTTTGCTCTGAAGTTGACTGCATGTTCAGACAGTCATCAGAGAAACAGCCGTACCATATTAGCTCATGGGAGAAACTGTATCCGTTGTTACTCTTTCCTTCTTTTTTTTTCCTCCCAAAAAAAAAAAAAAAAGAAAAAAAAAAAGACAATTATTACAAAGGGTAAAAAAAGGCAGAACTTTTTCTAAGTAAATAATGCAAACATCCTCCATCCAAGATTACTTGACATTGACAAGCCAAACCAAGATTACTTTGCACAAAAGAAATCTTTCTTAAACGCCATATGTGGCGAAAACTATGCAAATCCTCTTTGATGTTATACTGTTACAGCGAAAGAAAATCTTGACATGTATGTAAGAAAATACTCCTATTATCCTATATACATCAGTCAGTGATCATGATAATTAACCAATCAGGTGCACAAAATCCCAACGGAGTTATTGCAATTGAAGGGAAAAAAAAAAGAAAAAAAAAAACTTAACAGAGAAAATAATACCAATTCCATTAGATCATTCCAAAACTAAACTAAAAAGAAAATACACTGATACAAGAACGCCCAAGGGGCCCTAATGCCGGAACCCTAATTGTGGCCGCCTGATCGCTTTGATGCCCGTTTTCCTTTGATGTAGCCAAACACTTTATCCATTTGTTCCTTCCCGATACTCACTAAATCAGGGAGTATTAACATATAGGCCGCAAGGCCAGTCCTCACCGGACTCCTTAGTTCAGGATACATTATTGCCGATCAAAGGATGAAAAAAAAAGCCGACGATGATGATAGAAGCAGATCGGAAGCTATTCTCTTTTTCTTTTCCTCGTAAATACAGTAATGAATATAGGATTACGATAACGAATTGAAGCCTCCAACAACGAGTACTAGTAGTTACCGCATGCACCGACCCCAAATCCTTTTCTTTTGCTACTTACTATATTAACCGACCACGAAGATTCATCACTCCGATATCGCAATGGAATAGGAGTTACTGTATGATTTTTTTTTTTTTAATTTGATTTTTTACTTTTAATTAATCCTTACGCTATAGTGTCCGGGTTATATTTTTCTCTGAAATAAAAAGAGTATTATTTAAAAGCAATTTTTTTTACTCCGCGCAGTTTATAAAAAAGACTAAAACATCCACGAACTCAATCAACACAAGAGTTTTGCGAAACCTTAATGGATCAAACATGAATTAATTTGCATATAAACAACCCTTATACAGAAAATAGACCAAACTCAATATCAAGCATGCATTCTGGTGTTTAAAACTGAAATCAGGATTAAGAATTGAATTAAGGATTGACTTCGCAAAAAACGAAAGAAATATATAAAATTTTGTCTTCATACTGGATTTGTTTAAAAACTGAAAAACCAAAATTATATTCCCAGTCAGAATTGCCACAAAAATCATTTAATAAGCGAAATCAATAATGATAAAATCGTAGCAACATTGATCAAAAGCTTTTAAAAAAAATACCCCCTCCATAAAACAAATAAAAAAAAAATTTATTCTGGACCTTATTAATGTATAAAACTATTCTTAAAGAATAATTGACCAGAAAATTATCTGTTGGGACTTTAATGTCTCATTTTTTTCCAATGTTGTCTTTGAAACCGGCCGGCGACGGTGGAGGATCACTGGGTCAATCCCATTAGCCCGGAATATAAAATCGGATAATGTTATTATCATGTCAAACATACATATTTATTGTAAATAATTAAAGTATATCAGTAATATAATACTTATTAAGTATAAAAAATCAAGTTGGAGATTTGAAGCGTTAAAGAATATAATAAATTTAACCTTCCGTAATAAATGAAGCCTAGAAAGTGTAATTTAATCAAAACTTATCAAAATTAAAGATTTCAAGGAAATAAAAAATAAATTTTTAGTTTACGATCTTTCGTTTTTTGGGTGATATAATGGGAGTGGACTGCTGGGCAGAAAGAAGAAAACTAGGGAAAAAGAAAAAAAAACAATCACGCCTTTTTTGGAAAAAAAAAAAAAAAAGATAACAGGTAACAAAATGGAAAATCAAGTTTAACCGGTTCGCACGATTTTTTAGTCTGATCAAGAGTCCTATCTGACTTTGACTAGTTTGATACTATTCCAGGTTTTACGTGTCACTTGATCGCTCTATAAACCGATTTGCGATTTAACCGGTTGAACCTGTCGGTCCTGTATGGGTCTGACAACACTGTTTTTTTTTTCCTGTTTCCCCTGTTTTTTATTTTTCCGCCACTGTAAACTATCGATAATTGGTGAATTTTTCTACCGTATGTTGAAAAAATTTAAAAGTAATTAAAAGAGAGAAAATAGTATAAAAGAGTGAAATGTGTGAGAGTTAACAATTTTTTACGCGAAATAAAATCAAGTTGCGTATAGCAATTTAGAATAAAGATTATGTTATATTAATTTATTGAAATTGTCCAGCAATGATTAATAGTGAAAAACTGATTTAATTTCATAGTCATGTATACATCAGTTCTTTTTAAAATGCAATAATTACTCGTGTTAATTATTATTCTTTTACTATAAATGATTCTTCAAATACATTTATTTAAATTTGAAATTAAATTATAAGTAGTGAAAAAGATTTGAAGTTGTAAATTTAATTGTAAAAGAGTTTCATCAACAATTTATTCAACTTATATTGTCTTTAAGATTATATCTATTTAGTACCATATAAATATTGTAGCGAGTTAACTTACTAACTTTCCTTCGCAAAGTACACAAGAATTATTGTTCAGGAAATACGTAGCAGCTGAGGAAGAGCGTCAAACAACCATGTCCGGTCGCCGTGGAAGACATTTTGTCAGCATTGAGTTGTGAGACAACATGTATGCCAATTATTAGTACCTTTATAGATTAAGCTACAATTCGAATTTACATGTAGTCATGTATTGTATATATTTTTTTTATACGATGTCCCGGAAGGGACTGTATTGTATATATGTATATAATGATAATATTTCATGTTTAATATTACATGAACGAGTCCATGAAGAACAGCTTATGGAAGAAGCACATGGCGAAAATCCTTCGTCAAATAAGACGATTCGAATTTTCCAGAGTAGTTATCATTATTGCATCAAAAACTATTTTGGTAAGAAAGGGGTATCACTCAGTGTTGTTAAGTTCGGCTCGGACCGGATGGTCAAACTGGGTTAACCAAAAACTGGACCCCAAATCGAGCCGAGTAGGTAGTAAAATCGCCTGTACAAGATTCGGCCAAACCAGGTCAAAATTCTGGTTAAACCGGGAATCGGTAAAAACTGAATCGATCCAGGTTTTGCACTTTTGAGCTGATTTTCAAAAATTTTTAAACTTTTTGCACTACTTTTGAGGTGTATTCAATTTTGATTTTTTACTTTTAGTCCTCAATTAGATCTTCTATATTTTTAATGACCCATAACTTGTATATTTGTGAGATTAAACCCTTAAATTCAAATTTATAAGTGTAAATGTTTAATTTAACCATCCATCCCACATCCTACACACTAAATTGAGGAAAATTATTTGACACTAAAGTAAAATATTACGGACTAAATAAATCAATCAATATTTATCATTTTAAACTAAAGCAAACAAAAAATTGTAGCCAAATTAATTGACTAAACATGCAATGTAATTTTTTTAATGATAAAAGTCAATTGTGCATCAAATTTATTAAATTTTTAATTATAATTAAGGTTAATTTAATGGCTAGTGTATCCATGTTTATTCTGCTGTTATGATCATTTTGTGTTGGCATGTTATAGATAGAGCTAATGGCCACAAAGCTGAAAAAGGGAAGAGCCATCTGCCCAGCTATGAGATCTATAAGTCTGAATTCAATTACGATTCCGCTTATTATGGATTGTAGGTTGAAGGAATTGAAGGATAATAGTGATCAAATGAATGCTGTAAATACTGATAGTGTAAATATAGTGAGTAATGGAGAAGTAGAGCATACTTGTATATACTCAGAAATACCCTTTGGTTAGTTGATTGTATAGCCTTGTACATAAGGGTAGATTAGTCTTTCAACTTTAGTAAGTCAGTTACTCAGTGTAGTATAAATACAGATAGGATGAATTAAATGAGATAGATGAGACATTTTATACAGAATGATTTTCAGCTCTATCACTTTCCCTTTTCCTCTCTTGATTAAACCCTAACCACCATTGATAAGAGCTTGATCTCGCTTATGGTATCAGAGCAGGAGTGATCCTGCCTGATCTGAGTTGAGAATCCACATCTCCTAAGCTTCCGCAGTAAAACCTTGTTATCAATTTCATCAAATGACGTCTTTCCGAGTTGAATCCAGCCGCGATGGAGAGCTTCAAGCAGAGGAGCTTGGAGCAGGAAATCTTCGTGGTCGGATAGAGGAGATGATTCGTGATGTCTCAAGGCAGAGCAATACGGATCGTGAGATGGAAGAATTCATGGAAGAACAACTACAAGTCCATGGGTCTAATAATCCCAGCATGTTATTAGTAAG